GAACAAGTGCTGCAGAAGCTGACAAAGTAATTCCTGTTTGTAAAGCTACTGTAACGTTTACAAGACTTGACCTTATGATGGGATATAGCTAAATTTGCACAAATTGCTATCTCTAAAATAAAGTAAGTTAGAGGTAGGTCAAAAACCAAATCCCCTGACAAAGTAAATAAAAGATAATCTGCGATGCTAGGACCTAAAAACTGTTCCAGCTGACAAAACGTGCTGTTGCTGTTCTTGGTCAGCCTCGAAAGATGGCTGAATGAAGGGGCATTGCTTTAAGGCCTGTTGTTCCATAGGCCTAAGCAGAAGGATGTCTGTGCCCTTAAAGTTAAAAAAAAATTGGCACTGTCAAATGGTGTAAGAGGTGATCAATCTGTAGAGATGGTAAATTACTATTAGGATTTGCTTTAAAAATCCCCTCGCATTTTTATGCCTGGCCTTTGTAGATCAGAGTATCACTTTCTATCTCTTGCCTTTTACTCACTTTTGTAGATAAAATTGACGTTCTTTTCATGCATGGGTACATTGATAAATCTAGTACCTACCTTTATAACTACATTTAACTGTTTATTTTTTTCAGGTTACAGCTCTTACAAAGTTGGAGGGGGTTTGCCTGCTAAATTCTTCTGGAAGAAACATTCTTCATCTGATGATCTGATACTTTTTTATGCCCTGTCCAAAAAAGAAAAAAATATGTCTTGTGCAACTCTTAACCTCAGTTTTTCTAAATGTGTACTTTACAATTTCTGTTTCTGATTTGGGCAGGGAAATAGGAAATAACAACAGAGCTTTATTACCTTGGTTGTTCCTGCAGAAGCAGAAGTACAATAAATTGTGTTGCCCGGTAGAGGGAGTGAAAGCATCACCGTTACAGGTAATGTAATCCTAGGTAAAGTATGGGATGGGGTTAGTGGGCTTAGGGTTAGATTAGTTATTTGATTTTAAGAGACAGTGGACAAACGGAGTGCTTGACTTTTTCTTGTAACAAATGATGAATTTTAGACGCTGTTGCCTTTCATGTAAATACTGTGTGGAAATATTTACGGGAAGCACAAGACTAGTTAAAATTAACTGGATATTCCAACTTTAAAATTAATACGCTGTCCCTACAAGCTTGTGTTGTAGGCTAATACAAACATTCTTCAACAGAGGCAATATTTTTGCTCTTTAAATAACAAGACTTGCTACTACTTTTTCGTTCTTGCTGTTAGTTCTCATGCGTCAAAATCCATTAATATCTTCCATATGAACGAAATGTCCTGTGTCCGTTTGCACATACATGTAACCGTGTGAGGGTTGTTTCAGGAGAAACTTGGCATGTACAAATAAGTGCTATGTAAATATCTTACATAACTTTATTTTAAATCTAGACTGAATATCGCAACAAATGTGAGTTCTTGATTGGGATTGGTGTAAATCAAGAAGACAAAACTGTGGGTTGTCGTCTTGGCAAATATAAGGGTGGTACATGTGCTGTAGTGGAGCCATT